CATATACTTCAATGGCGTCTCTGCAGCTCTGCGACAATTATCTCCTCGTCAAGCCCTCTATTTCTCCTCGATTCCTCCTCCCTCAACGCTTCTCTCACCGCCTCATCCCTAAGGCCTCCGCTTCTCCTCCCTCGCCATCTTCGTCTGCATCTTCTTCTTCCTTGTCTCTAAATCGGAGACAGCTTCTGTACCAATCGGCGGCAGTATCACTCTCGCTTTCTTCCATCGTCGGACCTGTAAAAGCTGACGAACAGTTATCCGAATGGGAAAGAGTCTTCCTCCCCATCGATCCCGGCGTTGTTCTTCTCGACATTGCTTTCGTCCCTGACGAGCCCAGTCGCGGTAACTCCTTTAATTTCATTCACCGCTTTTCATCTATGGAGAAATCTGAAATCTATGGAGTGTCTCACTTACTAATCCTGCTAAGAAAAATCAATTAGGGTTTTTATTGGGAACGAGGCAGACTCTGTTAGAGACTAAAGACGGTGGTAACACTTGGGCTCCACGCTCAATCCCATCAGCTGAAGAAGAAGATTTCAATTACAGATTCAATTCAATCAGCTTCAAAGGCAAAGAAGGATGGATTATTGGCAAGCCTGCAATCTTATTGTATACGGCTGATGGTGGAGAGAATTGGAGTAGAATTCCTCTAAGCTCTCAGCTTCCTGGAGATATGGTATATAGCTTGTTTCTTTTAGTGCCTGCTTTCAGAGATTATGGATATATCTATTGCTGTTTATTTGGTGAAGCTTTTATTACAATGGTGTAGGTGTTTATAGAGGCGACTGGAGAAAAGAGCGCAGAGATGGTTACTGATGAAGGTGCTATATATGTTACTTCAAACAAGGGATATAACTGGAAAGCTGCTATTCAGGAAACTGTGTCAGCTACTTTGAACAGGTTCATTACCCTACCTTTGGTTTATATTGATGGCAAATTTTCCAAGTAGTATGGAATTTAAACGTATATTTTTCTTTTGGGAATTGGCATTGTGTTTCCCGTCACATTTAGTAGAGACCCTGATTCTGTATTTTCTAATGGTCTTGCAGAACAGTATCCAGTGGAATCAGTGGTGCTAGTTATTACACGGGAACCTTCAGTGCCGTTAATCGTTCACCGGATGGAAGATATGTCGCTGTTTCGAGCCGTGGTAACTTCTTTCTGACATGGGAACCTGGGCAGGTGAGCCTCAGTTAATGCAATGTCAGCATGTACTCATGTAGCATGTATAACAATCCATTGATTCGATTTATGATCTTAGTAATTGTTGCTTGGAGTCAAGTACTGTCTCTAGATTAACGATATAATGTGTCTATGCGAATCCCTCTTTTTTTTGTGTGTATGGTTTGGTTGCTCTAAAAAAACGTCTTTTTCACCATTGTATTCACACACTGCAGCCTTACTGGCAACCACACAACAGAGCTGTTGCTCGAAGAATTCAGAACATGGGATGGAGAGCTGATGGTGGCCTTTGGCTTCTTGTTCGAGGTGGAGGACTTTATCTTAGCAAAGGCACTGGGGTAAGTACTGCAACAAGTTTCCTCACTTTTTGCAGTTTTATTCCCTTTAACATTTCCTTTTCTTCTCATATCCAACAAAGCTAATTTTTAGATTTACTTGTGAGCTTCTGGCTTTATGCCACAAACTAAGAAACCCAGATTTCTTTTCATGTCTACTAATCTGGACCAGAACACAGAAAAAAGAATACAGTGTTCCGAAATCTATCCAACGTTCCAATCAATTCTACATCTGACTTTGTTCTCCACCGTGTTAATTGCTCCAGATCTCAGAGGAGTTTGAAGAAGTTCCAGTACAAAGCCGTGGTTTTGGCATTCTAGATGTTGGTTATCGCTCAGAGGTACAGTAGTTTACGCAATGATCATTCAAATCTGCTCAGATCTTTACACCAAAATGTGTTTGTTTAATTGTGGATTGAAGGAAGAAGCATGGGCAGCAGGAGGCAGTGGCATTCTACTGAGGACAAGAAATGGAGGCAAGTCATGGAACCGTGACAAAGCTGCTGATAATATCGCAGCTAATCTCTACGCGGTCAAGTAAGTCTCTAACCAAACATCAAAGCACAGTCTTTTTGATAAAACTCATTGTTCCTCCTGAGTGACCCATCTCATCTCAAATCTCAATCGTTTGCCCAAACATTTCAATCTGTTTTTTGCAGATTTGTTGATGACAAGAAAGGTTTTGTGCTNGGCAACGATGGAGTCTTGCTCCGATATGTTGGATGAAGAAAGCTGCAATATAAAAGGTTAATTGAAATTATTTATTTGTTTCAATCATCTTTGTGAAGTATTTGTTGCGTTTTGATACTGCATTTAAAGTTTTTGAAGCTTTGTTTGACTGTTTGTTGGATTTGGACTGAATCTGATTTATGGTTATAAATTATTTTCAGCAATCAAATTTGATTAAAGTATATTCATTAAGTTCTTGTTGTGTAGGCAAACGATGAAACTCGCTTCCCCTCGCCGACATTATACGGAGTTTTGTTTATCCAAGTAGAGAGATATGTATTTATTAATCACTTTCTTGTCAACATTTGATTCTCATAATTTAATATCATGAGTCATATTATACTAAGAGAGAAACATAAATTAAATAGTAAATGTTATTTATTGCAGCTTCAGTTCCTTGTATGATTTTTATTTATTTATTTCTGGTTATTGATAAAGTTGTAACGCGGTTTTAATCTTCTGTCATTT